ACTCCGTAGTAAAACATAGCTAATGGAGTGTAATGGAGTGTTTGCGATTGTTTCTACTTCAAAAAAGTGATGTTAAAGTGATTTTAGAAGAACTACTTAATAGTGAAAAATTGATATTGTTTGAGAAAAAAGTGATTCTAGAAAAGTAAAAGTTGGTAGTGTTTGTAAAATAAGTGTTTTTTGTGTAATAGAAAAAAGCAAAAGGGGTGTTTAAAACAAGCTTCCACCTGCTTACAACTTTTAACTTTTAAGTTATTAATTAATTAATTTAAGTATAAACTATCATTTAAAAATGGGAAATTATCATTCACCTCCCTTGAGGTTTAGTGTATTATCACTTACACCCTTATACTATCAAAAATTTACTCTTACCCCCCTCTCTATCTTTAATGATGATTAAGTAACTTTTAATTTACACTTAGAGCCCGTTTGATAGTTTACACATTAAAACTTTGCATGCAAAATGATTGCATGTAAAGTTTAGGGTATGTAAAATCGTTTGCATGTAAAATAAAGATACACCGTTTGGTTACCTATGTAATCTATTTTTAAATTACACGCAAAGTTTTTACAATTTTTTATCACAAAAATAACTTTACATGTAAAATATTTAATCCGTATAAAACATCACTCCGTGCGTGTGACAACACAAAGTTGTGGCCATGGCTTTCTCTCCGGCAGTATGGTATTACAGATGGCAAAAATCGTTCGGGCTTACAACATGGTTCACAGACATGGCCTAACTACCGTATACTGTATTACCGGAGATTTTTGCTTCCATACACATGTAAAAACAAATGTGAAATAGCAGTTTATATGAATTGAAAGCACGAAGTAGACATTATAAAATTGAAAAGTTTAAATTGAAAATTACTTTATTGTCATAGTTTCAACTACCAAAACAGTAACGCTTTGAAGGAATGTAGGATTAAATAGAAAACCAATATTTTCTTAATAAAACTACATAATAAAAAATTTATAGAAAGTCACTAAAATGCCACTAATTAGATTTCTCTATTCAATACAGCTCGAACATAAATCAACTTTACACCATAACAAACGGGCCCTTAGAAAAAATTACAGATATAGTTCCATAACTTTTGATAATGTCCACATTTGATGTTGTGATTTTATTCAACCACGGATCTAATTGGATAATTAATATATTTGTCCATATCAAAGATCCTTCCACCTAAAATAGAAGCTAATGAAACAAAAAACGATCAAAACTTATCTCACTCTATATGAGACACTTGATGCCTTTGGATCAAAAGAAAAAACTGAATTGAAAAGGGTTGATCAAAACATGCTATAATTGAACAAAATTGAAACAAACCAAATGAAATTAACCGAAACTAACACTCTAAGGTGGTTCTTGCTTTCATTAATCTCGAAATCTATTGTAAAAATAGAAGCGATTAACATCATATCCCTATTTCAGCTAAGCATTTCTCATACAAATTTAAATCAAGTACAATAGCAGACCATAAAAATTAAATTTATTTCTCAAAATATACTTTAGAGTTAGTTTTGGTTAATTTCAATTGATTTATTTCAATTGAGTCATTTTTCAAAGGGAAATTATCATTGACCTCTGTTGAGGTTTAGTGTATTATCATTCACACCCCCGCACAATAAAAAATGTACTATTACCCCCTCCCTATTTCTTAGTCATGGTTTAGTGACTTCTAATTTACGTTTAGAGAAAATTATAGACACAATTTGGTTTTGGTTAATTTCGATTTGGTTGTTTCAATTTTGGTCAATTTTAGCATGTTTTGATCAACTCTTTTCAAATTCATTTTTTTTAATCCAAAGTCATAAAGTGTCCTATATAGAGTGAGATAAGTTTTGATCGTTTTTTGTTTCATTAGGTTTGATTTTCGATGGAAGGGTCTTTGATATGAACAAATTTATTAATCATCCAATTAGATCCGTGATTGAATAAAATTACAACATTAAAAGTTTACATAGTCAACGGTTATGGAACTGTATCTATAATTTTCTCTAAGTGTAAAATAAAAGTTACTTAATCATCACTAAAGGATAAAGAGGGGGGTAAGAGTACATTTTTGATAGTGTAGGGGTGTGAGTGATAATACACTAAACCTCAAGGGAGGTGAATGATAATTTCCCTTTAAAAATACTCTTTTAAGCTTATTTTAAGCCAAAAGTTGTAAAACACTTGCTTAAAACTTTAGCAAACGCTCCCTAGTTTGTGTTTTTTTACTCCAGAGGGTTTTGGGGGAGGGGGGCTGGGGAGGTATGGAGTAATCTGGGCTGAAACTCACTCCATTGAGTTTCGAACCCTTATGTGCCTAGCGGGTTTCGAACTCAAGACCTCCCACTAGGCACGGTAACCTCACAACCACCTGGGCTGGAATGCTTGGCTTGTGTAATTATTACTACCTCCGTCCCTTAAAACTTTGCCAAGTTTGACTGGCACGAGAATTAATAAAGTAAAAATTGTGTGGTTGAGGTTTGTGCAGAGGAGAGAGAATTAACTGGAACCACAAATTCTTTACTTAAAAGAGAAAGTGGCGAAGTTATTGGGACGTCCAAAAAAGGAAAGTTGGCAAAGTTTTAAGGGACGGAGGGAGTATGTGTTTAATGTTGGCTTGTGTTATTCTAAAATATCACTTCTATGCTTAGTGTCCACCTCGGCTCCCTCCTCGCCCTCTACCCAACTACTGCCTCCAACAACCACTAGTGGTAGCGGCCGCTAAAAATAATCACCTGAATTTTTTTCTATTATTCAGTTTGTTTAAAATTTTGCAAGGAAATTCACTGAAACTTGTTCTGACTACCACAATAGTGACATACTCCTCAAATGCATTGACATATGTAGCGGAAAAATTTTCATCGAGTAATAAACTGATAATGAGAGAAACTATCAGTGACTGTTATAAGTTTCTATTTTAAGGGAAATTGTCACAAGTAAAAGTAAACAATTTTTTTAATTCTACAATTGAAGGGCTATATTTTTCTTCTCGGAATAGAAGTTACTATCAAAATTTGAAAATAGTCATTAATGATAGTAAATATTAACATGCTAATGCCTACTACTGTAACGATTTGACAGTAATGAATCCAAGATGGTAGTAAATACTATCATTGCATGTTACTTCTATTTCGGGAATTAAAAAAATAACAATCCTATTTTGAAATTCTAAATCAAGTTTACTTCTATTTAGGAAACTTTCCAATGTTATTACTCCCTCCGTCCCCTTTTAAATGGGACGGGAGATGGTGGCACGAGTTTTAAGAAAAGTGAGTTTGTGTGGTTGATATTAATTGATAAAGTAAGAATAAAGTGAGAATGATTTTGAGCCACACAAAGTTTACCAAATAAGGTATGAGGCAATTAAATAGGGACATCCCAATATGGTAAAACGGGACGTTTAAAAGGAGACGGAGGGAGTACTTTTGTAGTCATAGTCATGACGGAAATAAAGAATAATGACGGAAATAAGAATTCCAAGTTCGTATTGGACAAAAATGAGATTGCTATTGAATTTGGACAAAAAAGAGACTTATTATAAATAAATAAATAAATAAATAAATAAATAAATAAATAAATAGACATAAATACCCTCATATAAATAATTATCAAAACCCTAAAATCACGCATCTTGTTCTTCTCTGCACGACTTTATCTCTCATCCCTGACATGCCGCCGCCTATACCTCGTCGCCACATCTTGTTCATCATTGCTACCGTAGCCTGTTCTTCACCGTCGCCTCCCCTTCAACCTCTCTTCTTCCCGGCCCCTTCGCACTATCGCCACACACAACCGTTTTTCCAACCCTAAATTAGAGGAACGACAATGAAGATATGAGCCCTGCCTCCATGGTATGCTTGAGGATATCCAAATTGGTGGCGTAAGGGTTACGTATTTCTAATCGATGAGGGGGTGACAGGATTTGGTGAGATGTCACCGCGTATGACATAACTCTGCCAGGGGAGGTTAATGGAGAAGGGGTAAGTGGTGGTGGGTTGCAGAGTAAGCTAGGGTCGGGTGGTGGTGCTGTCACTGTCTGGTTGGTAACTAGTCGGATGGTCACGAACTAGAAATTAGTCACTGTAGTGTTGAGGTAGTGTTTATGGGTAACCGAGGTGTTTGTCACTTTAAGCGCTGTTGTTGGTCACTGTGGTCACCCTGTGGGAATCACTGTGTGGGCATAAGTTACTATGTCAATTGGTCACTGGCGGAATTGATCAACTAGTCACTAGGCAAAAGTTGGTCATTGAACGAGAGGACGTTGGTCACTTAATGGAATTTTTAATCACTAATGATTTTGGTCACTGACTATTTTTTTTTTATTTGTGGTCACTGATGAAATTTGGCCAGTATAGTGTTATTGGTCATTGTGACGTTACTTTAACAATAATGGTTAAACAATATTAATATAAGGGTGTAATAGTCTCATAACCTCTTCATATAGTAGGGATGGACCCGAGCCGGTTCCGATTCGGGCCTGGGGCCGGCAGTTCCGGGCCAGGCCGGGCCGGTTCCGGTTCAATGTTATTTTTTAATTTTCTTTTGATTTTCTAAATAACCCCTGACCCCCCCCCCCCCCCTCACCCCCCCCCACACCCCCCCAAACCCCCCCAAAACACCCAGCCCAACCCAGCAGAAACAAAAAAAATGGAAAAAAAATAAATAAATAGGCCCGAACCGGGCCCGTACCGGCCGGGCCGGTTCGCATTTTAGGGGGCCCGAGCCCGCACCGGGATTAGAGCGGTTCCAGTTGGCCCGAACCGGCCCCAAGACCGGGTACAGGGCCGGTTCGGAATAGTATCGGGCCCGTCCGGTTCCGGGCCGGGTGGCCCGACCCGAGTCCACTCCTACTTCATAGTAATTGATGTCTTTATTTTTATATTTCAACATCAATTAATAAATTTGCCAAAAAAAGCATCAATTAATAAATAAAAAATCCACGGTGTCATTAAACTCGGATCGTTTTGGGTATCAGGCCAGGCCTATTCTTGCTGCTCATAGGAAATATTAGCAGGCCAATTAACCGTAGAATCGCCAAACTCCCTTCTAAAGCCCATGAAATAAACAAAGTGGGAGTTTTTTCGCGGCGGCGGCCACCTTCATCCGCCGAGCAAAGTGGGGAGAGCAGGAAATGGCACTTTTCACTTCACTCTTCATTGCCCGTACCGCAACTCCCACTTTTCTATCAACTTCAACGCTTATTTTTAATGATCACGTCAAGCTCCGGTCATCGTCGTCTTCTTTTTCCGGCTGCCGCCAACTTCCTCTCTCCGGTATGCCACTCTGCGGCCACTGCGAAAAGCAGTTTGTGGTTTATGCGAAAAGATTATCGGGATTAGAAGAGGCCCTAAGAATGAAAAGGTATTTCTATCTCATTTTCTATTTAACATTTATTATTACGGATGCCTTGTTCTAGCGTGACAATTTGATCTTCCTGTTAATCTGCATTTCTAGGAAAATTAGGGAAAACATAAATTGATAAAATTGTATGCTGAATCAGGGAGCGCGAACAAGGCTCCAACAGCACTAAGAGAATGGTTCCTTTGAAGCGAGGACGGGTATCACCAAAGCTTCTTGTTCCTGATCACATAATGAAGCCTCCTTACGTGGGCTCAAGAGAGCTGCCAGAAATCGGAAATGAACATCAAATTCATGATGCTGAAGGAATTTCTCGTATGAGAGCTGCAGGTGAGCTTGCTGCCCGGGTGCTAGAGTATGCAGGAACATTGGTTAGGGTGAGATTTATTGACACTCATTGTTTAATTCGAGAATTTCTTTCACAAAATGTTTATTACAGAATGGTAAATGTGAGTTTAATACCTCGAGTGTCGACATGTTGATTGCACAATGAGATGTGTGGTTTAGAGGATCATGCTGTTATAAAAAAATGTTCTTTTTTCAAGAATTCAAACTTCTTATATGTAGTTCTGCTTACATATCTACTTGTATTTCATGGTTGCGTAAGGCATTCATCCAAAATACAATACACTGCAATTATTCTTCTTTCTTTTTTGCCCTTACTTTCAAAAGAAAATTTAAGTTGTTGTGAATATTTGCTAAATTTGTTTTTTTATGCTTAGATCCTATTAAGACTCAAAGCAATTAATAGACCTTTAAAGAAAATGTGGCCTTTATGGTCACTGGTCAGTCCTATTCATTGGTTCAACCTACATTGTTTTTTGTGACTGTGTTTTATCTATGAGAATTCTGCTGTCAAATGACCCATTTCTTGATTGAACCTATCAATGCTTCAAACCGTTTGCATGCCATGTTTCTTACAGTTTGCCTTGTATATTATCAGCCATCAGTAACAACAAATGAAATTGATGAAGCTGTTCACCAAATGATTATTGATGCTGGTGCTTACCCCTCTCCTTTGGGCTATGGGGGTTTTCCTAAAAGCGTGTGCACTTCGGTAAACGAGTGTATGTGTCATGGAATACCGGACTCCCGGCAGCTACAGGTTGGCAGTTATCCATAACCACTTTTGCTAACTTAATTCACTTCTGCTTACTAAAAGGAAAAATTATTGATAATGCAGGATGGTGACATAATAAACATTGACGTAACAGTTTACTTGAATGTAAGATTTTGTAATCTATATTATGCACATTTTGATCCCCCTATGTGTTCCAAGTAGATGTCTTGTGACAAAAAACGTACTGTTTGGTCTCTTTGTCAGGGCTATCATGGAGACACGTCAAAAACCTTCCTTTGTGGCAATGTCAGTGAGCCCGTGAAACAACTTGTTAAGGTATCCTCCCTGTGTCCCAAAAAAATAAGTCCTATTTTATTAAGGTGCAACTTAGTATGAGGACAAGATCCCAATCACGGGCAGTTTTTTGATGTTTTGGTGGAACTCATGATATAATAGAGAGGGTTTTGCTATTTGTTCTTAGGGTTGTTTTCTTGTTTTATTTTTCTTTCTCCTCGTTTCTTTTGCCTTTGCATTCTTCTTGTACTCCAATTTAATTTTTCATTAATAAAATTTTATGTTTGCCAAAAAAAAGGTGCAACTTTGTATGTATAATCAATTCATTCATGGTACAAGGTTGTACAAGTCACGATGGTCACTTTATCATCATCATTATTATCCCAGTGTCACAAAGGCTCCCACCTACGGTGGGGTAAGGGGAGTCGGATGTATGCAGTCTTTACTAAAGTACACAGAAATTGTTTCCCGATGACCCATAGTGAAAATAGCGTTGGAAATTGCATGTACTGACTGTTGCTTCATAACAATGAAGCGCAGACTGTTTAATGAGTCATTTTGCTTTATTCCATCATATTCACAAGCCAAAAAACAGTGACTCTTTGGCTTCATTGCAAATGATGAAAATAATTTGGAAATAATTTACCACTAAAACTTATTCCAAGATTGTTTGGAGTACTTCACTAGAACCGCATAACACTTGGCTTTAAATGAAATTAACTTTTTATTTTAAAATGAATGTTTAGACGTTTGTAGCTAGACTCGTTTTCCGTAACAAAAAAAAAGATCTACAAACATGTTTTTTTGGGTTGAGGAGGTATCTTTTTTGTTACTGTAAGAATATTAAAGTAAAATGTGACATTGGCAAGTTTTAGCCATTGATATATTGGTCAAAGTTCCATGTCACGCTATTAATATTTTGTTCATAAAGTTTTGCTATTGAATCACACTATTCTTTTGATCATGACTCGTGATTGCAATCAGCTCTTTTATGACAGGTGACGGAGGAGTGCTTGCATAGAGGGATTGCTGTTTGCCGAGATGGTGCTCTGTTTAGGAAAATTGGGAAGAGAATCAGGTGTTTTTATCTTCTTAATATTATGTTTCCTCTAAAACTTCTACTGAAAATTTGTAATTTGAAGTCCTATTGAAATATGTTTACTTCGATTACATGTAGTTCAATTACCGATCCTAGAAACATTGTTAACGTCTTCACCACGGGACAAGACATTCATACTAGTGCACTAAAAGTAAATTTAAATCAATGTCTACAAACCAAAAGTAGAATATTTTCTATTATGATCATAAAAAAACCAAGCATGAGAAACATTAAGTAGGTGGACTCCTGACGTGCACTTCCACTAAATGATCCTAATACTATTCTGGATTATTATTCAGTGAACATGCAGAAAGGTTCGGCTATGGCGTGGTGGAACGTTTTGTTGGACATGGTGTCGGGACCGTGTTTCATTCCGAACCACTCATATTTCATCATCGTAAGCACCTCCAACTTGATTCATCCTATATTATCAGTCATGGAATGTTTCATCAATGTTATTTGGAGTGCTTTCTAGTTGTGAAAGCTTGACATCCTATATCTGTATCTCTCCATGTTCATCCATGATCAAAACCCACACTACCAAATACATATTACTATATTTGTTTCATTTTGACATTTACCTTTATATCCCCTTTATTCTCCCTCCAAGTGCATCAGTGTCTGATCATGCATAGAATATTGAGATTTTTTTCAAAATATTACTAAAATACTCCATAAAACTTAAGGATACAAATGTAGTCACGAAAAGTTATTGAGTCACATTTTTGGTCATATATCAGGCATTATTTCTAGAAAATTTTGTGATGCATGCTTCTCCCTTTTACAGGTAATGACCATTCTGGTTCGATGGTCGAGGGGCAAACATTTACCATTGGTGAGTTCATTCATATTTTGATGATGAACAGTCTCGTTGTTGCGGAGCTGAGATTCATATTTGGAGTACTATGTCATTTTTTCTGCATGAATTCATAATGTTAACTATGGTTTTGATTATAAAAAAAGTGGAAGCATAAAAACACAACTCTTTATGGTGTCTGATAAGTCATGGAGACACTTGTTCATCATTTTCATGGCCTGGAATCTGGATAACCCTTCCCCATACCCTCCAATCCTCCATGAAGCAGGGAGCCTTCTGGCACCAGGCTATTTCCATACTAATTATGAAAATGAATTGACTTTTTTTAATGGATTTCATAAACAACATGTCGGCATGTCCCAAATGCATATGATACTGTATTGAACTTTTCTGCTGCATTTATATGACTTTGACTTGATAGTCTCCTGCCATGGGAACACTTGCCTGTTGCTAGCAACTTGTAAAGGATTTCACACACATGATTTTGGAATCTTATCTGATTAGCCAATCATTGAACATGATAAGTCTTCTTGAGGAAAAAGCCAACCTTTATTCCTGGTGACTGGTGAGGCTGTCAGTATTCCTTTTGAAGATATAACGTGGAGGGTAGTTGAAATGTCTGAATTATTTGCAGAGGCACTTAAAAATAAGTTTAAAAAAAAAACAAATCAAATGGGAATTGTCTTAAAACGTAAATAAGTGTCTTTTCTCTTCCATCAAGTCTGTTTCAACATTAAGAAAACAGGATGTCTGAAATGGCTGTTAATACTTAATACTCCGTATTATAATTAAATGATTTAAATTGGGTGATGGATATATAACTTGGGGTCTGATTTTGTTGCAGAACCCATTTTGACATCAGGAAGCAAGGAGTGTGTGACCTGGGAAGATAACTGGACAACTCTTACAGCAGATGGAAGCCCCACGGCACAATTCGAGCACACCATTCTGATTACGAAGACCGGCGCTGAAATTTTGACTAAATGTTAATTAACACCCAATTAGTGAAAAGTCTTGTTTTTTGCATCAGTTTTATCACTTGTATGATGAACAGGCTACAAAACTCTACTCCAAATGTATATGAGCCATGGTTGTTCAAGACGGTTTACATTTTCGGATGAACATGCATGTTCCTCTTAATTTAATTTTACATTGTTTTTACTGATATTTAGAGAATTTTCCCTTTCAAATTTGGATTGCTCTGGTCCCAAAGCGTTATTTTTTTGAAAGGATGGTCCCAAAGCATTTTAGTAATGACAATTTGGGACATGTTTTTTTTATCTAATTCTTGTTCCAAATAATAAAACAAGAAAAAATCTTCATTTCTAAACTCAATAACAATTTATAACGAGAGATACTCTAAAAAAATTAAAATATACTACGTACTTCGTATGAAATTTCCATTAATTGACAATAATACACTAAATTGCTAAATGAAATAAATTTAAAAGTTAGAACAATTTAGAGGGTACAACGTGGTTTAGTTTTGAGCAGGAAAAATAAAAGAATATTATATTACGGAGTACTTATTTTAAGCTTTAAAATACAAATAGGACAAAAACTACAAACGTGGCAATGAAATGGAAGATGGCAACTTTTGTAAAGATCCAATCGTGTTTATCTTAAATCTTTACAGGATAAAGTAGTATCATGTACTAAACGGAAGGAACATAATAAGCCTAATAATTTTGAGATATTTAAATATCTTAAACGAAATCAGAACTTTTGCCCACCCCTGTGACCTATTTAGGAATTAGGAGTCTAGCTAGCCTTTTATCATTTATTTGCTCGTGTTCAAAATATATTCCATCAAGTTTAATGTTTACAAATCATCATCATCATTTCGCAATGGCTCCCACCTACGATGGGTAAGACAATGACGGATCTAGTGTTTACTATTTGGGTGTTCAAAATTACACATTTTCTCTTTAAAATACTAATAAATAAATTATTACTCTAATTTGTATATATATAATATATTCCCATTGTTTTTTTTTTACTCGGGTGTTCACATGAACACTCTTGCATAGAAGAGATCCGCCCCTGGGGTAAGGGGGTCGGATGTACGCAGTCTTACCCCTGTACTAAAGCATAGAGAGACTGTTTCCGAATGACTCATAGTGAAAATCGCGTCAAAATTGCATAGACCGACTGTTACTTCATAACAAAGAAGCACAGACAGTTTAGTGAGTCATTTTGCTTTATTCAATCATATTCCCAAACCAAAAAATGATGAGTCTTTGGTTCCATTGAAAATGATGGAAGTGAATGTTTACAAATGATACAAAATATAATTTACTACTGCAATTTATACGTTGGATAAGCTCAAAATCGTGTTGCATATTGCTTTAAAGTTCAAATATCAAATTCACGTCATTTTGACATTTTCGATTCCATGTCATTAAAAGTCAATCGTAAGTTCAAAATTGAAGCTTGAGTTCACAATTTGATCAACATCTAGTTCGTTAATAACCTAAAACCCCTAGTTAACCATGATCAACAATGTAACAAGGGAGAAGGCTCAAAAATGACATTAATGTTATTTAAGAAATTCGGATTGGACACCAGGGGCGGATGCACTATAGTTTTAATGGGGGCACATGCCCCCAATGACTTCCAAGATTTTAATGTATATAAGAAGTATATACGTGTATATATATTTTATACAAAGGTAATGCCCCAATTAATAATCTGGAGGACCCCATTAATATTTTGCAAACTCCACAAAATCCTAGTCAAATAGTCAATAGTCATACGGTTTATCCAATTTTCCCTTTAGTTTTGGGAGTTTTTATTTTAATGCTTAGACTTTCATGATAATTTATGTTTTGTGTTTAGAATGAGTTATTCAGTCACTCACCAGTAATATAATTGGACAAATTGTTTAGTGTAAATGATAAGTATAATTTTTAAAACTTTATTGATTTGGGAAGATTATACAAATGATATACGGAGTATAACATACGATTCTACAAATGAAAATCACTGCTTCCATTTAATCAAAGAGAGGATGTTGGACAAAGTTCTAGCGTAAATTGTATTACGATTAAATACAATTTACAGAATACATAATACTTTTTCAATGCCCGGAAAAATCAAATGAGATGAAAATACTTTTGATTAATTAAGGAACCCCTACCAACCTTGTGATTTCTGGTTCCGATTTTACTCAAACAATTATAAGCTAAAAATTGCGGCAAATGAATCCGAACAAAAAATTATCAACATTATTTTATCCATTTTCATATAACTTTTTCTTTTTTATTAATAAAATAAATTTTGTTTTCATAATTCAGCAAATTCAGTAGTTTCGATCAGAACTTAAACAATTTCAGAAAAATCAATTGATTCGACCAATTTTATTGTCATCAAAGGGACTCTTTCTATTATGCTTACATTGATTTTTTCATAGTTAATTTTGAAGTTCACTTATACAGAGTATTAATTAAAATAATGTCACTTCTTCTTAAGTGATGCCCCCAATAGTTGAAGTTCCTAGATCCGCCCCTGTTGGACACTAAACTTCTAAATGGACCAATTTAATACATAAACAACTTTTGTGAGCAACATTTGGCCACCCACAAGTCACAACCATCCTCCCCACGTTAAGTCGTCAACAACCCTTTATCCCCTCCACCCCAAAAGCTACAAACGATACCCAAATCAAGGAATTGCTCTCACAGTTGTTAATTCATTCACATATCAATTGCCATTCTTTATGTAGTTCACAAACACTTAATTGCCGATGTTATAATTCTTGGATTATGAACCTAACCCATGTCTTCCCCTGCTCCATGTCTTCCGGCCATTGTCGTGTCAAAAACACCAATGCATCTGGTGTCATAGGTTTTGCAGCAAGCTCTAGTCAATTATGTTGCCAACTGTGGTACTGGAAAACTTTTTTCGTGTCCGGAGATGCTGCTACACCGGGAGAAATGTAGAATGAATCGGTGGGATGCTTCTTTCTCTGAACAATTAATGGAAAAGTGTCATCCTCTGCCCAGATTCATCTTTTAATTGGGGAATAATCAAGAGAGCTCCTTTTAGCATGAACGGCAAACTCGAGGTCACTGCTGTGCTTGTTGAGATCGGATTCAAATCAGGGAATCTGAGTAGATTAACGGAGGAGCTGAAGCCAATTAGCTGAGGGGCGAACTGGTTAGCCGCCATCTTTGAAAAGCTGGCATACTTGGCGGATCTTGATGAGCAGGAATAATTGCTTGGGCAATTGGGCATGAGGGGGTTCAATTAGCCGGAATCCCCTACTTTCAGGCACATAAGAGCGAGATAAGGAATTAGATTTCATTTGACAAGATGAGATGTGTAAAAAATTACTCACTCATGTTGAATCATACAAAGACTAGACGAGAAGATGATGATTGTTGAGTTGATTCATTATCCTCATACAGGCACTAGAAGAAAAGAAAATGATGGGAATATAGTAGGTGGAGCGAGAAGGGGAGACGTGAAACACACCACATCGCATAACGTTAACTTTGGGAAACACCGTTAAATTGAAATGGTATTAGAGCATCTTCAATGCTATAATGTGCACGGTGCACATGTGGCATGCTAGAGATAGACACAAGAAATTAAATTTTTGACATTTCTCTCTCTTTCTTTCCACGACTTTATGTGTTTTAGTAAGTTTTTCTTTGCAATGTCAATCACGGTGTCTACATCTAGACATTGTGCTTGACATTGTGGAGAAAAACTTACCAAAAACATATAAGACCATTCAAATAAGGAGAGAGATATTCTATTTGTTATTTTTTAATTGGCTATCATTCATGCCACGTATGCACCGTTCACGTTTTTGCATTGGAGATGCTCTTAGGTGGCCAAAAGTTACTCAAATAAGTGACTCGTGTGTTTATTTGGTCCCTTTAAAACGTTAGTGTCCAATTTGAACTTCTTAGGTAACCTCGGTGTCTTTTTTGAGCCTTCCCCCATGTAACAACTACAACCTACCATGCTGCAACTGTAACCGCTATCACCACTCAATGAGCACCAACACCAAATCCGTAGTACTCAAAACATTTGTGGGCATAAAAGTTTATTGGTATGTGGTGGTTGTATGGGTGGACCTGATCCAGACATCCAGTTACAATCACGACCAATTCTCGGGGTGGGCAACCGAGACTTTGTGCATAGAATCCCAGCCAATTCTCGAGATGGGCGAAGTGTAGTGGTGGATTCGGTTCAGGCCACCCGGCCCGTGACCCGGCCCGGCCCGGCCCGGTACTGTGCAGGCCCGGGCCCAGGTGTTTACCCGAATCGGGGGTGCAGGCGGGGGGCGGGCTCGGTTCCGATAAGAGGTGACCTGGCCCGAGTCACAATGGCTAACTTAAAAAAAATCTTTTTGGGCCAAAACAGCTTTTTGGCTGGGCACCCACTTCCCAAATGGCTATATAGCCGTTGGGTGGGTTGTAGGGGGGGTCAAGGCCATTTGGGGGCTGGGGTGGGGGTGGGAAGGGGGGTAAAAAAAACATATAAACACTCCTAATTTTAAACATTTTTCACACCTCTTCTCCAACTCTTCCTAAATACTACTCTCTAATCATATTCATCTTCATCTTCTCAAATTCTCTTATTCTCCATTATATTTTATTTTACTATTTAATACTTGTAAAATTATTATATCTACTTATATATTATTAATTATCTACTTATAAATACATATACTATATTACTTATATTTCTTATCTACTTAATCTCTATATTAATTAGTATATTGAGTGTGTATATATATATATATATATATATATATATATATATATATATATTCGATTTTTACTAATATATTACTTTTATTACATCTAATTAGTATATTAAGTATATATATATATATATATATGTGTACACACACACACACACACTTACACAATATATATATATATATATATATATATATATATATATATATATATATGTACAAAAAAGATCAGGTCCAGCCCTCCCCGGTCCAGCCGCCGTCCGAACTCCGCCGTTTGGGGCGGTTCCCGGTGGAATGTTTTGATGAAATTTTTTGAGCATGTTCTTCATCAAGTCTAGTTTGTCCATACCAAATTTCAGCTCAAAATTCGATCGGGAAGGTTGTCAAATGATTTTTGCAAGTTAACTGGTCTGGAATATGTATTTTCCGGACCAGTTAACTTGCAAAAATCATTTGACAACCTTCCCGATCGAATTTTGAGCTGAAATTTGGTATGGACAAACTAGACTTGATGAGGAACATGCTCAAAAAATTTCATCAAAAAATTCTACCGGGAACCGCCCCAAACGGCGGAGTTCGGACGGCGCTTCCCGTCCCTCCGGCTGGACCTGATCACTTTAATTATATATAGTTAATTATATATATATATATATATTAGTTACACTTTAATTAATATTAGTTAAAATCATTCTATTACTCATTTACTCCCATTAATTAGTATACACAATCATACATTTATCTTATTGCTTACATTTTGTATTAACATTACTTGATTAGGTAATTAGTATTCCCACTAATTGTTACATTTTTCATTAAAATAGTTAACTAGTTAATTAGTATTCCCATTAATTGCTACCTTTGTCTCTACTTTAAAAAACTAGTTAATTGTTATTATAGTTAAAGTCACATTATAATAGTTTTAATTTATATTTGAAGCAAAAAAGACTAGTTCAATTAATTTTATTAAAGTACTTAACATTTTATTAAAGTAGTTTTCACTAAATTAAAGTACTTGAAAAGTTGCTTTAATTTAATCACTCACATTTTAGTTAAAGTCACACTTGTTAGTTTTAAGTATTTATTAAAAAATAGTATTGATTAGTTCGAATTTAATACGTTTGTAACAAGTTTTTGTTGAAAGTCTAGTAAATTAACATGACAAGGATATTGGCAGACCTTGATAAAGAAGAATGTGATGTGAGATTGTAGAGATAATGACACATTTAGGATTTAGAGAGATAGGAAATAAATATAGGATTCTTTAAACCCCAACCCTAACTCCTCCATCTTAGGAGCCTTTGATGGGGGCTTCAATGCCCCCAAACTATGCATGGACCCGGGCTAGGCCCGGTCGGGCTTTTGAGGAATGGGGGAAGGCCCGGAACCGGACCGGGTCGGGCCTCGGGCTTTTTTTTTTAGACATTCAATTTTTTTTACCATATATGTAATATTTTCATAAAACTTTCATAATTTAATTATATTCGCCCCCCTTAACTTTTAATTTTCAAAATTAGTATATAGTCTTACATAATGTAATACTTAATTGGAGATTTAAAAGAAGAAACATCTAAAATAATTTACATAACTTAAACAAATAAACAATAGAGTAACTCGTTATTTAAGATTTAGGATACTTATTATATAAGAATTCCTAGTTTTGTAATGTTTAATTATCTTTATTAGATAACAAGTACATGATTTTGTAAAACATATATCAAACAATATTAAATATCAGACACACTAATTACACAATTTTCAGATCACATGAAATGAATCCAAAATATAAATATTTATAGACATTAGATTACATAATTCATTTACTTCTTGCTTTCTAAAAATAATTTACTGCATGGATAGTCATGGACCCGGGCCGGGCCGGTTCCGGTTCCGGGCCGGGCCCTGCCGGGCTTTTTTTTTGGGAAGGAAGGCCCGGGACCGGCCCGGGTAGCCACCGGGTCCGGTCCGGGTCCGGGCCGGGCCGGGCCTCCGGTTCGGTCATAATTTTTTTTTTTTTTGCTTTCCTAACCCCCCCCACTCACCCCCCCACCCCCCAAACCCCCAAACCCCTCCTAACCATCAAGCCCAACCTGGCTAACCCCAAAAAAAGAAAAAAAAAATAAAAAAAAATCAATTCGGCCCGGGCCCGGGCCCGACCCGGCCGGGCCGGTTCGCCAAATACAAGGCCCGAGCCCGGACCCGCCCACCCCACCGGGCCTAGGCCCGACCCTGACCCGGACCCGAGAACCGGGCCGGTTCCGGGCTTGCACAGTGGCGGGCCGGGCCAGTCCCGGGCCGGGCGGCCTGAACCGGGTCCATGCCTATGCATGGATAATAAACTTTAAATTATTATAGAATTAATAAAAATATTAAAATATAATATGCACCATGTGTGTGTGTGTGTGGTGCATATTATTCTAAAATTAACAAACTCATACATACTAGTATACTACTATTGTAATATTAAGAAAACTTCTCATGAGTCATGACTCACGACCACACTCCTTGGTGGACAAAAATTACAATTCAATAACCGATTCATGAGGTTAAACAATGTAGAAATTATTAAAAATGTATTGGTTGATGTCTTTGTCATCGTCTAAACTTAGAATGTAATAGATTTAAATGCCGGTTCGGGATGTGCAAGTATTAATGTCATTTTTTGAATAAAAATAGCAGAATAGCCCTACAGTAGCAAAAAAATTTCGCCCCGCTACACTAGGGGAAAAAATTTCACTCCGCTACACTAACAAAAAAAAAAAATCACCCCCTACACTAACGAAAAATTTCGCCCCCCTTGACTCAAAATCCTGGATCCGTCCCTGCCCCCCCCTCAAATTCCCGAAACTCCCCCAAAACATCAAGCCCAACCTAGGGAAGCCCAAAAAAACTGAAAAAAAAAAAAACAGTTTGAGGCCCAAATCGGGCCTGCCCCGGGCCGGGCCGGATCCCCATTTAAGCAGCTTGTCCCCTCTTAGGCCTTCAAACCGGGTCAAGGACCGGTTTCGGACCCCAAGCACCGGGCCGGGTCCGCACAGACTTCAACCAGACTAAAAAACAGGCCAAGCCTGATCCCATGAAACAGCCAGTTCCAGTCCAACTAGGCTGAAACCATTCGACACTAGGTTGTTGGTACATTATAGGAAGTTCCGATGACAAAAAGTAGAGGCATTAAGGCAAATTAGGAGTGGATTCGGGTCAGGCCACCCAGCCCGTGGACAGGCCCGACCCGCTACTGTGCGGGGCCTGGACCGGCCCGGTTATTGGGTCCAGGTCGGGGCTAGGCCCTGGGGGGGGGCAGGTCTAGGGCTCTAGGCTCGGGTCTTACATTTGGCGAACCGGCCCGGCCGGGTCGGGCACGGATCCAGGCCAAATTAATTTTTGGGATAAGGGTCAGATAGGGCCTCGAACTTGAAAAAAAATGTCAAATAAGGCATTCCCAGTGAAATTTTTTGATGAAATTTTTTGAGAATTTTATTCATTAAGTCTAGTTAACTCATATCAAATTTGAACTAACAATTCAATCGGGAAGGCATTCAAATGAATTCATGAAGATAACTGCGCTTTTAATGGTATAGTTATCTTCAAGAATTCATTTGAATGCCTTCCTGATTAAAGTTTTAGTTCAAATTTTATATGAGTAAACTAGACTTAATGAATAAGATTCTCAAAAAATTTCATCAAAAAATTCTACCGGGAACCACCCCAAATGGCGTCGACCGGACAGAGCATCCTAAATATGGCCTTATTTGACATTTTTTTTCAAGTTCGAGACCCTATCTGACCCTTATCTCTTAATTTTTTTTTTAATTTTTTTGGGGTTCCACCTAGGCCTGGACTCGGGCCGGGCGGCCCGACCCGGCCACTGTAGCAACCAGCCCGGCCCGGTGGCCCGGTCCACCGGCGGTTCGGGTCGAACCGGCCCGATGGTTCCCGGTTCCGGGCCCGGGCCTTCCAAATGGTGAACCGGCCCGGCCGGTTCGGGCCCGGTCCGGGCCGGATTTTAATTTTTTTTTTTTTTTTTTTTTGAAATTTTTTTAAAGTTTTGGGTTGGAATAGCTATTTTGGACCATTTGAGGTGGTTTGGGGTTGAGGGGGAGGGGTAGGGGATTAAATAGGAGAACAAAAAAAAAAAAAAATTAAGTGGGCCAGTTCGGCCAGGCCCGGTTTGGCCCGGAACCGGGACCGGAACCGGCCACCGGCGGTTCGGGCCCGGGCCTCCCATTTCCTGGCCCAGGCCCGAACCGGGCCCGAACCGGCCCGAGTCCAGGCCTAGTTCCACCTGGGTTGGGCTTGATGGTGTGGAGGGGTTTGAGGGATGAGGGGGGGTTAAGAAAGCAAAAAAAAACAAATCGGAGGCCCAGCCCAGACCCAATGGCTACCCGGGCCTAGGCCCAACCCGGACCCAGCCCATCCCGAGTCCAGGCCTAAGGCAAATAAAACTCTGTTCAAAACAGAAATTTAATCTGAGTCAAAAAGCGTTTTCCACTTCAAACACATATTCACTTGTAGCAGCCTCCAAGAAAACCCATAAAGTATGCATGTCCAGAACATATTCACTGCAAATCAATGGAGCCTTGGATAGAAAAAAAATTACCATTCATAAATGATAAATTCTCGAAATGTGTCCCCCTCTAGTGAAATTACAATTTCTTTGGTTGAACCTAACAAAACCACCCATTCATTTCTGAACAGTCTTAGAGTAGTACTAGATTGATCATAGCAAGTAAATGCACTCCCAGAAAATGGCAGAGCCACCATGGTCCATGCATGGCTCTTATTTATGTATGCAGACAGGGGAGTTGAAAGAAATGATTGGCCAATCAATATTTAAAAGTCCATGCCACCCATTCCACCGCCGCCACCCATGGCTGGAGTTTCCTTCTCATCCTTGGGAAGCTCAACCACAACCGCTTCTGTGGTAGTCAAGAGGGAAGAAACACTTGCGGCATCCACCAAAGCTGTTCTTATCACTTTCAATGGGTCAATAATCCCAGCCTTCACCATATCCACATATTCACCTGTGTATATTTCAAAAAAATAATGAATCTTTATCACATGCATATATTTTAAACACAAAGTCACAAATGCATGTATACATAGTATAGAGTTATATACCTTTAGCAGCATCATATCCAAGATCAGGGTTATCTTGCTCAAGCAACTTGCCAACCACAACAGCACCCTCTACTCCGGCATTAGAGGCAATTGTATGCACTGGTGTCTGCATCCAATCAACAAGAACCAAATTAGATTGCAGACATGGATATGGATATATATTTAATAATTAGTCCAGCAGATTTGAACACATTGTTCCTCCATTTTACTTTTCTGCAATATTTATTCTGATGACTACGTTGTGAACTAGGTTTATTTCGTGGAACCTTTGCTGTCACTTCACCCATTTAAAATCTACTCAACACTAATACTAGAAGGCACCTCCTTCCTCAAAAATGCTGTTCTCAACAACAGTGGTTCATTATGCGACTGACACATTTATAAAGGTGAACCCAAATGCAACAAACCTTCAATGCGTTCTGGATTATCTGAACACCAATCTTCTGATCAAAGTTGGCTGTGGGTAATTTGTCCAATTCTTTGGATGCATACAAAAGAGCAACACCACCACCAGGGACAATTCCTTCCTCAACGGCTGCTTTTGTTGCATTTAGTGCATCAGTAACCCTATCTTTCTTCTCACCAACTTCAGCTTCACTTGCACCTCCAATCTGCAACATTTATAAGAGTAAAGAAATCATAATTCATAATACATATAAAAATAAGTTGCTTAAGGTGTTGGACATGTATTCATAATCACACATTATAGTACAGCTTAAATGTGCACACCTTTAATACAGCCACGCCACCAGATAGCTTAGCTAGTCTCTCTTGCAGCTTCTCCTTGTCATAATCAGATGTGCTCAGTTCTATTGTTGAACGAATCTGGAAACATAAACCTCAGAAAGGGTCATATTACTAATGGTTTACAATAAAGTACAAAATTGGACCTTTTGAAATCAGTAACTAAAAAAGCAAACCTGTTCACATCTTTCCTCAATTGTCTTCTTTTCTCCTGCACCGTCAAGAATGACTGTATCATCTTTTGACACAGTGACCTGAGACAGTAGCTTCTATTAGGACTAATGAATAATGAGAAGATGAATGCAAAGTGAAATTAAATCCAAGTGTGTTCATACCTTTTTACATGTTCCAAGCACTTCAATATCAACATTTTCAATGTTCAATCCAAGCTCTTCGGTTATTACCTGATTAATTAATATAATGCAAAACATGTTTAGCAGAACCAAAAGCATATATACGACCATTAAAGGGAAGTAATGGGAACAGCTCTCACTTGGCCTCCTGTGAGAGTAGCAAGATCCTGAAGATTAGACTTCCTGTTTTCACCAAATCCTGGTGCTTTTATGGCACAGACCTGCATGTATGCATTCAACATGAAATTTGTGACAATTGAAAACCAGATTACACGATCATTAACTGTAATCTTGGGGAGCTAATACCTTGATTCCAACACGTAGTTTGTTGAGGATAAGAGTAGCCAGTGCATCACTATCCACATCTTCAGCCACGATCAACAGTGGTCTTTGCTTCTGCAATAGTACAACAAAGAAAGTAGTTGGCAAATATTTTAAAAAGAATCATGGTAAAATCAGAATTATCGTACATTGCATAGGAAAAGGTATAACAGACAGTACCTTCAAAGCCAGCTCTAAGATCTTCACGATGGCATTTATGCTTGATATTTTCTTCTCATGGATTAAAATAAGAGGGTCATCCAACTCCTGTAAATCGAAAGAGCATCATGAAATAAGGAAGTGTTTATCAATACCAACCTGGCTACCTGTGATGGTAAATAATGACAACTTACACATTTTTGGTTCTTCTGATTTGTGATGAAATAAGGGGAGATGTATCCCCTGTCCAGTTTCATCCCCTCCACAACTTCAAGCTCATTGAACAATGTCTTGCCATCCTACAACAGAAACGAAGAGGGTGCATTTTTAGACATTACCCTACAAGTATATCTAAAGCACACCCTTTCTTTACCAGGCGATGTATTGTACCATTGCAATTACAAAAACTAAAGCAAAAACATTTTTTGGGAGATGCATTTACTGACCAACCCAAAACACCAAGTAAATTACTGCATTGTTGATTTTCTGTTATGCTATTATTACTCAGTATAACTATTATAGTGTTTATCCTAGATCCAGCATCAGAAGACAACACAACAGCTAGCTGAATCTTAATCCAGACCTAAGAAGTACAAAAATCATTTGACATTCAAATTGATATCAACTACAACCTGTTTCTGATTAAAGCTTATATATTGTGATAAAGTAAATAGTGGCAGGGACTCATTTAATAAAAACTGTGCCAAGCATGAGATTTTTGTTTTTAAAGAAAATGATGAAAAATAAAATAAACACTTTTGCCACTTACTTGAATTGTGATGACACCTTCTTTGCCAACCTTTTCCATGGCCTTTGCAATAAGCTCACCAATTTCTCTTTCTCCATTTGCAGAAATTGTCCCAACCTATAACATAAGAGATGGAGTAACTGTTATCATTGCTAAATTCTTAAGCAAGTTAATAAAATGAGAATAAACACTCAGCATTCAGCAACGGTCATATACCTGGGCAATTTCCTCAGATGTGCTAATCATTCTTGTTCTGCTCTTCAGGTTTGTTACAACAGCATCAACAGCCATGGTGATTCCACGCCTGAGGTCCATTGCATTCATACCAGCAGCAACCGACTTGCAGCCTTCAGCAAATATGGCGCGGGTGAGAACTGTTGCACAAGTAGTACCTGGAATTGAAAGGAAAATGTAAATGTTAAATACCAAGTCCATATAAAGTTCAATATTCACATCAAAACAGAGACAGGGCCCAAAAACACTATGATTGGCTCACCATCACCAGCAACATCATTAGTTGCATTAGCAACTTGTTTAACAAGGCTTGCTCCAACATTCTTTATTCTGTGGCTAAACTCAACACTTTTTGCAACAGTAACACCATCTTTTGTAACTTTTGGTGCACCCCAACTTTGTTCAATCACAACATTGCGTCCCTTAACAAGAATAGAACAAGCCAACATACACACACTTATAAAGCATCTTACAGTATGTATTCAAATCAATAATGTACAAAAATACAAATTGAACTTTAACTCCCCTCACTTTTACTTGTGAACAGAGAAGTGTCTCACCCTCTCTCCTAGAACAATTAATAGAGAGACAATGAATTACACTACACTTCAGGACTAGATTTCAGTTTATCCATTGTTCTGATTCTAGTGTGATGGTGATGACAAAGGGCACACTTTTTTTTGTTTCAAAGTTAAAAATAATGATTTGAAGAATGTACAAGCTAACCAAAATCAAAGCTTTAAATAAATTTCCTAAACCTTCCAATACTAATGTGCTGCCATAAAACATCCTATAAATAACAAATTGAGCAACCTAAAAAGTAGTTATCATACTAGAGTTACTTAGTTTATCAAATACAAAATGTTTCATTAAAAAGTTGTTAATTTTACATACAAATGTAAAACTGCAATCCAAATAAGAACGTTTTTTCTTTCATCTGTAAATGAAAGATTCATTTGCAGGTAGTACATGGCATTTATCAAAGATCAAACCTTTCAAGAGTAAAAATGAGCACTGTGAACTGATAAACACACCCAAGATACTTATTGAACCAAATGGTTCTGCAACTATATGAAAGGCCCATAGCAATTATGATATTGGTTATGATACCTTTGGACCCATGGTGACTTTCACGGCATCAGCAAGCTCTTCCACTCCCTGGAGCATCAAGGCCCGAGCCTCCACTCCAAATCTAATATCTTTAGCAGCATAATTTCTGCTCCAAATTAAGCTTCCACTTGCCTGGAGATTTCAAAGTTGCATTTTGAGAACAGCCCAATCTCACAATACATAAAACGGAAATGGAAATAGAGCTTCGGATGAGATTAATGAAAAATCTGATATCTACACATTCAGAAAACTACCTGTGATATGCTGTTCTTAGCGACCCTGTAATAAAAACAAATTAGATGTTTTAGCCAATGCAGATTACATAAAAGTAATAATAATAAAGCATATTGACGAGAAAACCGTACCTGGCCTTAGAGGCAAGATTAGCTGCAAAGCGATACATATTTTTATTGAGAGTAGATGTGGGTGAGAAGGATTTACAGATGAGCACGTAAAGATGTAGAGCACAGTGGTGCCGCCGCAGAGCAAGGGAGGCGTATATATGAGTAGAGGCAGAGAAGGGTCTAGAAGAGCTTCTAGGGTTTTTAGGGTTTAAAGAATGGGTTTTAATCGAGGCTCATGCTGTCTACCTAAACAGCTAACCCCCCCCCCCCCCCCACCCAAATGTCATAAACAAAAGGGAAAAGGTGCAAATAGGCCCATGTACTAGTCAAATAAGCCCCTATTTAGGAGGTTCTGTCCGGCCGTCGTCATTTGGGGTGGTTCCCGGTGGATTTTTTGATGAAATTTTTTGAGCATCTTATTCATCAAGTCTAGTTTACTCATATCAAATTTCAGCTAAAACTTCAATCGGGAAGGCATTCAAATGAATTCTTGAAGATAACTACGCTTCTAAGTGTGCACTTATTTTCAAGAATTCATTTGAATGTCTTCCCGATTAAAGTTTTAGCTGAAATTTTGTATGAGTAAACTAGACTTAATGAATAAGATACTCAAAATATTTCATCAAAAAATTCCATCGGGAACCAACCCAAATGGCGACGGCCGGACAGAGCCTCCTAAATAAGGGCTTATTTGACCTTTTTTGGTTAGTACATGGGCCTATTTGCACCTTTTCCCTAAACAAAATTCAGTTCGTATATTGTGGAACTCTCCCACGATGAGTAGGGGTGTGCACCGGTCCAAAACCGGACCGGACCGGACCGGAACCGGTTTGGACCGGAACCGGAATCTCAATTTTTATAAGGACCGCAGACCAGACCGGATACTAACCGGTCCAGACCGACCCGGACCTGAATTTTCCGATCCGATCCGGTTTTAACCATAATTGACCCGATTTTTTAAATAACTATTTCTTTCATTTATAAACTTTAAGAAGTAATCTCATATGCAAATTTGCCAAATAGGATATAATAGACTAACGGTAAAAAAGAGAGAACATAATAGACTAAATAAAAACTACACATAAACTACATCCATGAATTCATGATTAGTACTCGGTAGATCCTGCACAATGGCACAAGGCAAACCTGCGGTCTAAATAAAGACTAATTGCATTCATTTATTACCTGGAAATTTGCTAAATAGAATATAAAAGACTAATATAATAGAATATAAACTAAAATACTCTTTGCCACAAAGTATGTTGGCAGTGTAGACGGTGTAGCAGCGAACCTAATTTCCAAGTTTAATCAATGGACCGAAGCATATATTTTAAGGAGTATTAATTTAACGGGCCAACCGGTCCGGACCTGTTTTTTCCGGGTTTGACCCGGACCGGACCGGAAACCCGGAATCATAGAATTCTAAGGACCGAAACCCGGACCTGTTTATACCGGTCCGGTCCGGACCGGCCCATTCCGGTCCGGTTCAGGTCTAAAATACGGTCTGGACCGGTTAATGCACACCCCTAACGATGAGCACCGTACTCCTGCAATCAAAACGACACAGCTTTGCATTTTTTTAATTAAAATTTTCGCGCATGAACAGTACCGCGTGTACAGTAGTTTTTTTCTTTGTCCAAGTAGCAGAGTGATGTAACTCACGTGTAAAGAAATGTAAATCACGTTATTGATCAATGTAACTCAAGTCTAGTCGAAATGTAACTTGTCCAATACATAGTATAAGAAATAAAACATTGATTTCAATTTAAATAAAGGAAATAAGAGTCTAATTGCACAATTATTTTACAAAAATAGTGTATATGTTTTGTTTTTAGTATATCAAGGCTATAAAAATGATTTTTAATAAAATTAATTTTTCTTTGAGTAGCAGAGACTTATTGAAGTGTGTAACTCGCATTATATTGTGGTGTAACTCGCATTATGAATAATGTAAATCACGTGTAAGTGGATGTAACTTGTTGAGAAAAATTGACATGTAACTCATGCTTATAGATATGTAACTTTAAGCAAATCCAGATGTAACTTGAGCGTACGCAAAATGTAAAGTGAGAAAGGTCTAAAAACTTCCAGTTGAGTTCTTAAAAGTTGATCTGTGCAAAATTCCAATGAGTTCTCAGTTTTTTTTCTTTTTGAGTATTAGATGAAGTGCACCCAAATCGAGTCTCTATTTTGCTGTTATCTCGCAAGACACAGATCAAGCCTCTTAATGAATAATCAATTCGAAGTGCACACAAAAATATCAGGCTCAGACGTCTATGCGAACAGAGCATGGGTTAGATGGACTGCCGCGACAAGATTTACGCTTCAAATCAGCCATCAAGGCTAAGCGCCGCCGCCTCGAGGATGAGCAGTTGCATCGCCGCCTCTAGGATGAGCAGTTGCACCACTGCTACTTTCTCTCCGGCGAGTGTCATGACCAACTTCCGATGCTCTCTCTCAAGACGGAAGAGACGCAAGCTCTCTAATCTGGGGCAATAACAACGCGGAATGCTTTCTTTTTTAATTAATACGGAGTAATACTATGCCGTTTTGGGACCGGTGCACCGTTCTCATGGTGCATCGATCCCACGGTATAATTTGCCAACAAAATTAGTTAGTTTTTTATTGGATTAATGTTAATTAAATACTATCTCCGTCCCGTTAAGATTGTCTCATTTTACCATTTTGGCCCGTCCCACTAAGATTGTCTCATACTTATTTCGTAAAGTTTGTGTAGCTCAAAAGCATTCTTACTTTATTCTTACTTTATCAATTAATATCAACCACACAAACCCACTTTTCTTAAAACTCGTGCCACCCTCTTCCGTCCCAATATAAAAGGGACGGAGGTAGTATATAATTATCAAATTAAGGCTGAATTAAAAGTAATTCTCAGTGTACTGTTCAGCGAAACTTGGGTCAAGGGAGCCGTCATCTGAAATGACGAATTGTAAGTAGGGGTGGGCATGAAAAATTGTAACCGATTAACCGTACTAAATAACCGAAAAACCGGTGTTTTTCCCGGTTAACCGTACCGTGTTTTTAAAAATTCACGGTGCGGTTAACCAACCGCAAGAAACAACGGTATACGGGACGGTTACGATTTTGAAACTAAACTACACCGGTTAACCGATAATCTAAATATTTCATCTAAACTCATGCCAGTCAAGTATCGCGCGAGTCTGGAACGACAACATGTGATGTGCATTAAACAATTAATATTAGTGAGTAATTTTAGAGCCGAGCAAAAAGTGATGGTTTATTGGAATTGGAGCTATATTATTGTTATTAATGTTATGATTAGTTATTAATTAATTGATTAATCTGCCATACAGCACAATCACAATTGAGACATGTCTTGGAATGCTTCACGGCATAATACGGAGTACTGAGTACTGGTTATCCCCCCAGGGAGTACTTTTTAAATCGGGTGTTTTTATCTAATTTTCATCCCACTTCCCTTAAAACATTAAAAAATCTAAAAAAAAAAAAGAGTAATACGGAGTATATGGGAAAACCTTCTACGGGAGCCTATATTGGATTTTGTTGAAGTAAATGTTCAATTATAAGAGGCGGCACATTTGTAGTTGTTCAAATGGTTTTTTGGTTAATCAATAATCGGTTAACCTATATTGCGGTTAATTGTTACCCGGTTAACCGATGTTACGGTACGGTTAATGATATTATAAAATATTAACCGAAATCACGGTTAACCAAAAAATTGGTTAACCAAAATGCGGTTAACCAACCGTGTCCACCCCTAATTGTAAGTCACCAACTGAGTGACGGCTCATGAAGTTAAATCGGCGACCCGTTTTGCACGGAGATGAGCCATTTAAAGCACGAGAGAGCAGCGTAGAATAACGATGAAAACGGCATTTTTGCTAGAAAAATTGTCAACGACTAAAATCAACGAGAAATGTGACACGGATTAATCGAAGGTCATTGGTGCTCTATTTCACCACGTTTGAATTATTAAGATATTTCACCACTTTTGCTCTAGTTAGAGTTTTTATAATTAAGTTCGAAATGGGTAATTTATTACTCCATACTAGATTATTAGTTTTGTATTTGATCTAAATAATAAATAATTATTAATTACATTGCATACTTCGTATATAAATTGCTTGTGTTGTTTTTTTTAGAGTCAATTCCCTAAATAGGACTAAAAAGTGGAAAAATTGCACAAATAGGACTAAATTTTTTAAATTCCCTTAATAGGACTATTTATGTGTGTTTGGACAAATATACCCTTGTAACTTGTGAAATGTTTTAATTAATAATAAAATTATAAAAAAATTAATAAAAATCGAAAAAAATACTAAAAATCGTAAAAAAAAATAATAGAAAATTAATAAAAATATTTTTTAAAAAAAATAAAAAAAATATTTTTTTAAAAAAAAATAAAAAAAATAAAAAAAATCATAAAATTAAAAAAAACACATTACCACCCCTGCCACCCCCAACACCACCATCTCCCATCACCGGACAAAAATATGCCAACATTTTAAATAATGCCATAATGATGGCATAATCAATGAAAATGTTGGCATATTGAAGAGTAATTATGCCATCTTTTTGGCATTTTCAGAAAAATATGGCATTTTTTTACCAAAAGTGGAAGAAATTTCACCAATCGGAGGTGGTGGTGCTGGGAGGCGGCGGGAGACGGTGAGAAAGGTATCCATAATTTTTTTCATTTTTTATGGGTTTTTACTATTTTTTATTATTTTTTTAAAAAAATTAAAAAAATAAAAAATTAAATTTTTTTATTTTATAAATGTTTTATAATTTTTTTTAATTTTTTTTACGTTTTTTAAATATTTTTTACGTTTTTTGTGATTTTATTATGAATTAAAGCATTTCATTATGAATTAATACTCTTAGGGGTATTTAGGGTAGAAAATCAATGTTTAGTCCTGTTTAGGGAATTTTAAAAATAGTAGTCCTATTTGTGCTTTTTAGGAACTTTTTAGTCCTATTTAGGACAATTTCCGTTTTTTTTATCATCAAACGGGCCTCTATTCATATCAAAAGATTCAGGATCATTACATCAAGTAAAATGAAAATAAAACTGACACCAACTGAAACTTCAACAACTACGACTGTAACCCTATGATGAGACTTTGAGACGGTCACCCCTGAGAGAGTAACACGAATCGCTAACCATATAGTGGGCTTGACACAACCAAACCTATTCCTATAGATCCAACCATACCCAATGACATAAAGAGAGGCAAAAAACTCAAACAAACTGTCAAAACCAGCAACAAAAGTGGACACAAGAAAACAAATAACAAACAGATAAAAACTACAAGAAAAGCGTTCACGAACTCTAACACCTCGTACATCCCATGGTGGTGGTTCAGGAGGAGGTCTTACCACCGGTACCATGCTAATTGATACTCCGTGACCTTTGTCTGCCAAAGGCCATGCATCAATCCTCCGTCCCTGCATAATCAAACTCATCCCTGCTTCATACAACCAGAGTAAACGGATAGGCGGCGCCGATCTTCTCCAGCGACGACAACAATACATCATCCTCGAACCTTGACCACAACGCCGATCTCCTCGAGCCATGACAACAAGTCCGCCCTTCGAGTATGAAGCACAAACAACAGTAGCCGTCCTTCGATTAAAATCGAAGACAGAAATAGCGACCGTCCTTCGATTGAAATCGGAGACGGAAAAAGCGACCGTCCTTCGATTAAAATCGAAGACGGAAAAAAACTCCAAGCGACCGAAGCCTTAGAGAGAAGCGAGAGACGAAGAGCTGATACAAATTGCTTGTGTTGTTAATATATGCTTCAGTTTATATAATTTGTTCATATGATTCTCGTTTGAATGTGAGTTTGATTATGGGTTAGTTTGTGAACGACTTTTCCATTACATTAATTAGTACTCTAGGAGTATATAATATTCTTCTTTCATTAGTGTTTGTATTTTACAATATTTTTTTGATAAAACTAGTTGATTTCGCTAGAATGAAAGAAATTGTAGTTGAAACTTGAATGCGGCATAGGGGTGAACTCAGTTCTAATCGCGGACCGACCGGTTCCAGTGTCAAAGTAAGGAAGACCGGGTTCGAACCGGACAAATCCGATTACGGGCGGTTACAGTCCAACGAGCGGGTCGGTTCAGAGTTGGACCCGGTCTGGTTCTATTTATATTTCTCATTCAAGGTTGGACCCAAAATGAGAATCGGGACCGAGACTTCCCTTTACCCAGTTCGGTCCAGTCTGACGCACCGAACACAATTCCGGTTCTGCTTGGCATAGTACGGGACCCGATTCTGGTCTGGTCCGAGATATTCGACCGGGTCCACCCCTAAAGCGGCATAAGTCATTTTTTGTTATGGATTGTTGATAGATTATGAATGCTCCAAACTTTCTCATTGTTTATTAATGGTGATGATAGATTGTTGAACAATTAAGCAGAATACATTATAAAGGAGGACGACAAAGGGTCATTGTTGTTCCCCGCGAGATGGTATGGTGGACTTAATGCATAAAATTTATACATCCACAATAGATATGTAGAAAAATAGGCTATAATGTGGGTGGACCTCACTTTTTTTTTCTGCCCATCGATTTGGGCGGGGCAGACTGGCCCGCAAGAAACAAGTCTAACCACATATCATACATACCCGTAAGAGCAAGCTGGATATTTATTAGAAACTCAATAATAAACACCATGCTGTAGTATATTTGCTTTTTATATTTTATGAAGTTTAATTTTCCTTTAGTTGTATTCTAATGATCTGACTTGAATCTTTTTGATCTAGTTTGATTTTTTTTAATCTAAAGACGATTTCTCAACAAAAAAATGAATAAGATAAACTCGGGACCTCCCATAAGGGAGAGTGAGTCGGCGACCAGCTGGGCTAGACCGCTTCCTCAGAACACCCCCTTAGTATTCAAGCCAGTATTTTAGATTATTAGATTATTTTTTTAATGTGATTATTCGATGACCTTTTTTAATGTGATTATTTGATGATTATTAACAAGCTGTTTCATACATAAAGTGGTGATATCGTAAGAGCTCGTCCTCCTCCGAAACCACCTCCATACCAGGAAGAGTTTTGTGGAAAGATTTTATTTCAGTATTATTTTCTTTTTAGTATCGCTTGTTTCTGTTGTAGTCCGAGTAGATTTGATTTGAATGTTTGAATTTTTGGAATTTTTTCGATCGGCAGGGTTTCAGTTCCAGTCGTTTTAGACCTAAATTTGTCTGTTTCAGGTTTAGCGAGTCATGTTGCTTTGTATGAAGTGATTGTCTCTAAGTCTACTTCTAGAGTTTGTGAGTGGATCTGTAAATTTTGTCTGAACGTTATCTTGTATGCAAAGTTCTAAAATTCGCTAGGCGCTAGTCGGGCGGTCAAGCACCGCCTAGCGCCTAGGCGAACTAGGCGCCGATTAGTCGCCTACTAGGCGGCCAACTCGGTTTCACATAAGATCAAAAAATAAAATATTCTCGGCAAAAACTACTACATTAAACAAATAAAGTTTAAAGTTTAAACATAATAAACATGTTTTACACACTACCTAGTTTAATAATTGATAAGTTAGGACAACTAGGTTTACAACAATTAAAAGTTTAAAACATCAATACATCACAATGAGCTAATAAGATACACAGCAAGCCCAGACTGCCCTCCCAAACTGCCCTGCAATCATCTTGATTATCATGATCTCTGCAACAGTTTTATGGAACTGTAAATCAAATTCAAACATGAAATATTTAAGGGAAATTAAGTTTATTGAGATAACATAACGTATACGAACTTTATTTTTGTATGCTCTATACAAACTTGAGTGCAGTAGCGATTTGCAAAAGATTAGTAATACAAACATCACTTCAAAATCATAGTCAAAAGTGACTATATTGCATTAAAACAGTAACTCAAATCCTTGCCAAGAGAATCAGTGTAATCATGATATTTTCGAATTATATCTTAGTAAGAACTAACAAGTAAGTGAGTAATCAAGTAACTACAATAAATTTAGTTGGACAGTTTGGACGGTCTTAATAAAAAAATCAGCAGTAAGTATTAATAATACAATGAAAATATCTTTATTGGATGTTAGTGAATTCAATTTTGAAAAACAAGGTAGTTTTTGTATTTCTTATAAACTATTTTCAACTCATTGGTTTGGTTTTCTTCTCTTCTAATGAGAGAGATTGAGAAGATAATGACATTACATAATAGCAATTCAAGTGACCCAGTAATTATTTCTGCAATTATCAATGAGTTCACAAGTACCAAATTTGAAATAGAAGAGCATGTGTAATCAGTAAGTTAATATATCTTCAATTCTCCATACATATTAAATTGAAATACTAGTGCTCACTAATAATCCAAACTTGAACTTCTACTTTAAATTAGCTTCAACAGTTCTATTCCCTTCCTACTTTGTGCCCACTTTCAGGGATGAGAACCTCTGAATAATAAGTGACTAAATCATGTAATGCTTCTTCCAGGGATGACATTCACCCCTTCTATGCCCTCTTTCTAGTAATGGAGTTTTAAATGTTTGATTTGGTCACTCATTAACATGACTAAAAAGTACCCCAACTCCCGGCACATACAAATTACAGCATGAATTACATTGGGGTCTTCAAGTAAGGGAATGTTTGCAATTGCTTCAACTTTTAAAAAGTGATTTTTTAAAGTGATTTTGGGAAAAGTGATTAATAATAAAAGTTGGTAGTGTTTGAGAAAAAAGTGATTCTGAAAAAGTAAAAGTCGGTAATGTTTAGTAAAATAAGTACTTTTTGTGTAATAGAAAAAGTGAAAAGCAGTTTAAAGCACCCTTCCACCTGCTTCCAGCTTTTAGCTTTTAAGTGATTAATTTAAGCAGAAGCTATAATTTGAAAACAATCTTTTTAGCTTTTTTAAGCCAAAAGCTGAAAAACACTTTTTTTAAGCAACCGCAAACACTGCTTAAATCACACTTCATTTAAAATCTAAAAGACAAATGTCAAGAATTAATGTTTAAATGGACACGGCATGTCAACATATATATAAGAAAGGATACTATAACTTGTTTATACTTTCTAGTCATGTCAGCCACTACTTGTCTACTTGTTTAACTAAGGGAATGCTTCTGAGGATGCATTTTTCAATGTTCTATACAAAACTACAACCTTTTATGTTTCAATTCCTCATCTGCTTAACACAATAAAACCCAAAGCTAATAGGTTTCTTATTGCAGAGGCACAGAGCTAATAGGATGTGTAATAAAATTATTAAAAAATCTATGTATGAGGTTCAAATGATTGGGGAGATAAAGAAGAACTCATATGGTCATATTAATCCATGAGTCCGTGACTATAGGCCTATAAGCGTGGGGTCTCCAATGATAAATTGATTACCAAAGAGTTCATATCCAGTTCTTCACTTCTTTGCTTACCAACAGTTCCAGACTTCCCAGCACATATAATACAACTCAGGAATAGCATTTTTAATGAAACCATTTTTTCCTGGACTGTCTGGACCGCAGGACACCGGAGAGTGGAGAAGCGTGCAAATTTAGTACTCAACAAAGAAGCAGAAGAGAAGAAGATTCATGACCACACTGCCATTCCATCGAAGATAATAAAGTTGCGTTTTTAGGTTTGGGAAGTAAAGAAAGAGGCACACCAAATTTAATGGTTGGGGGAACGCCAAAACGGATGTAAGAGGCGCCCTCGTCATCGGTAAAAAAAAAAAAGTAAAAAACGCAGCTACTGATTAAAAGGTTAGCAACGACTAAATTTCTTCGTAGGCAGATGGTTTTCCGCCGATTTCTCGGTCCGGGCGGCCGATTAGTCGGCTGAGCGAACAACATAAAATCTCTTCTACGGGATGGAGGCGCCTAGCGAATTTCCGGCGCTTAGGCGGCCGATTAAACCGAGTTTTAGAACCATGCTTGTATGTATTCTTGATTTTAATATAATGACTGCTCTTTTACGATAAAAAAATACTACGTATAAAAGTGATAAACATGTTCAATTCACTTCATGTTCAAAACTCGAGAGTACCATGTAATCATCATATTTGCTAAAAGCATTTGAAATACACAATACTAATCACTAATCTGCAAATACACATTTCGTCTAGACAATAAAGTCATTTTAGCATCTTGTCAAACTCATTTTGATCATTTTCACATAAGAAGTTAATGAGGTCTAGTAAAAAGTTTAAAATTCTAAAAGGTACTAGTATAGTAGTATATAGTATAAATTGTCAAGTGTGCTCTATCCCGATCGCTTGAATGCGGTCGAAAACTGACGCCTCCCCGAGTTGGATGGTTATAACTTAGGCATGTCCATACTATATGTCATGCACACTGTTCTTAAAGTACAGTAGATTAAAACACAAAAAACTGAACCAGGAGTATTACAGTAATAACAAATGACAACTATGAGCTTACAAGTAAAATCACTTCCATCATTTGAGAGGAGCATAGAAAGATCAACTCAACTGGCGAGTTTGAAAGCGTCTATGAAGAGACCATAAGTGAACCCCATCTTAAAGTTGTTCAAAAGGGCCAGCGGAAAAGTCACCTTAGGCTGACTATAGTAGAACCGTGTCACATACTCCGTGATGAGAACACAAACCACAGCAGCTATCACATCATTTACCCCTAAAGCTCCAAACGACAGTGAGATTGTCTGGGCCACGTAAAAACCTCCCAGCAAAGATATACCCCCAAAAAGCGCTCTCCGGGAAGGACTCCTAAAGTAATTCTTGGACACATCAGGAAGAAGACGGATGATGTCTACCAAACGTCTAGGCCCTTCATTCTCTTGAACAGCTCGAACCATTAGGCTGCATGCAGATCTTGAAACAGGTGTGGTATGTCTACCTCGAGCGGTTCTTTTAAATGGAGCTAATAAGCCATACTTGGTGAAGGGAGTAGATGACAGACACATACTACAAGACATTTTCTATGCCTCTGAAATAGGTTCATAACACATCATTTCCCTTCTGCACAAAAAAGAACAAATTTATAATAGTATAGTACGTAATGCGGGGGGGAAGTCGGAGTAATAATTATAGTAATAATAATCAGATGAAGAAACAGGTGTGGTATCTCTACCTCGAGCGGTTCTTTTAAATGAAGCTAATAAGCCATACTTGGTGAAGGGAGTAGATGACAGACACATACTACAAGACATTTTCTATGCCTCTGAAATAGGTTCATAACACATCATTTCCCTTCTGCACAAAAAAGAACAAATTTATAATAATACGTAATGCGGGGGGAAGTTGGAGTAATAATTATAGTAATAATAATCAGATGAATAATCAGTTCAACGGAATGCGGGGGAATTATATATTTTTTAATTTAATTCTTTTATAAAAAACTGATCCAACCCCAAGTCTTGGCGTTAATTAGCTATTGCTTAGTTAAAATTGCTTAATAAACGAATGTTTACTTCACATCAATTGAGTTATGTCTTAACTCTATAGACTATAATGTTCAAAATACCCCCTAAAACTGTTTACATCACCTGTACTCATAATGGTTTTAAAAATGAAGCAAACATGCCCCTGATCTTAGCGTAATTCCATAATACACTGAATATTGGTACACAAAATAAAGGGCATACCCTCCAATCAGGGACGTAGCCAGGACGGATGTTCAGGAGGGGCCGACTATAAACTAAAAACACTGTATAGAAATTTTAAGAGCGCAAATAGTGTGAACATAATGATTAAAATCCATTAAAATTCATAATAATATTTTTAAACAGTACATACAATATTTGAGACTAAAACATTAACTGAACACGCCGTTCAGTTGCATAAGGTGATGAAGATGATGAACCACAATGCATAAGAAACACATTCTTTAACCTGATAAACTCGTCTCCAACTATCAAAACCAGAAATCACTTAAGCCGAAAAACAAGAGGAATGCACAACATCACTGAAGAGAAAGCATGGAAAACAATATGCCTCATGTGTTGTTGGAGAGTATTCCAACCAATTAAATTCATTGAAGCAAATGGATTGAAAACGACGTATCTTATCTTTGTATTCTCAACCTTTGTAAGAGTTCAGTTTCGGTTGATAAGGTCCAAGCATCAAATAAGATCGTCTAATTTAATCTCTGTTCTCTAATGGCCAATCACTTACCTTTTTTCGTTTTCCCGGATCCCACTCAATTACAAGTGCATCAGAAACTACCTCCTCTTGAGCAGATGAGATATATGGAGTTTCAATTGAGACATTAACTCTTGTCTATTTTGTGTACTTGTACTAGGCTTATAAACAGAACCCAATATCCTTTTTTTCCTTTTTAGAAGTAGATAGAGTAGCCATACCCTACTAAAATTAGCAACAAAAAAAGACTAATCAATATTTTACTTTAATTCACATAATTCATGTTAAATTATTAATATTTTAAAAAATTCACAAATCACATTTGGCATTCCTAATTTTCCATTTCACAATTCAAAAACACACGGATTAAAAAAAATCAAAGCACACAATTACACAAACGAATTAAATAACACGCTAAATAACTAACACAAACCAAGATAAAAAATACAATACTTTAAATTATAATATAAATTGTAAAAAAAAAAAATAGAGGACCTAGCCTGAATCGAGAGAAGAAGCGAGCAGGAGTGGGCGAGCGGCACAGTTCCAGAAAGAGGGCGTCGGGGCGTGCGGCCTCCGGGAATGTGCGCGGCGGAGCGGGAGAGTTGCGAGCGGGCCTGCGGCGTCTGGCGATGCGAGTAGCGAGCGGTGTGGCGGTCCGTGTAATCCTGCGCTGCGGGCTGCTTCGTGCGTCTAATTCATCGACCTCTGCTGGCTGCTGCGAGCCTGCGCTTGAGGTCAACGGTCAACACATTCCTTTTTACTCCTTAGATTAGCTATGGACCATTTTTTGTAACGGGCCAAATTTTATTTCGCACCGGGCCAGATCTTTTTTACACTGGGTCAGATTTTATTTTGCACTGGCCAATTCCATTTTTTTGGTTTTAACTATGGACAATTCTATTCCCAGCCCCCTCTATAGTGAACACAATCATTATTTTTAAGTTTAATAAATAAAATAATCACTCGGTCAATTATACCCTTCGCCAAATTATTTGTCCTGTATAGCTCCCACCACTATCCAGATTCCAACACCTCAACTTTCTTCACCTCAACCTTTCTTCTTCATTTGTTCACAAGCAACATCACACTTATTCACATCCACACCACCATCTGTAATACTTCAGATTAATTTAAAAATAATTAAAAGTACTACTCATGGGTGAATCTTCTTTTAAGGGAACTCACCTCCTAGGAATTTCATGTTAAACATGCTTGTACGCCTGTAGTCTTAGGATGAGTGACTCCAATGAAAAGTTTCTTAGGAGCGCACGAATGAGGACAAAGTGCACGAAAAAGGCTAGTTGTGATTTGTAAAGACAGTACTAGAGGTCTGGAGTAATTAAATCGAGTCCTGCAAGGCCATGATGTTACACCATCATTCCATAAACATCCAATTTCTCCTTACATCACAACCCCTCATCGCCAGAGATTGTAGACTCAAAACTCATCCATACTTTTGCTATTCAAAGCCACACACTTAGTCCCCTTCTCATGAAATAAGTGTAAAAACTAGTTTAGTATTCGTTTTGATTAATCATGTCATTTTCTGTGCACTATCTTTGTTATAATTGATTTTGTACTATTGAGTATGGCGGATGATAAGACAACCAACAAAGATGTATTTATCCAAAGTTCCTTATCCCTATGCACGAATTATTCAAGAAGCCATATTCTATTAAGGTGAAGGAGATCCACGACTGGACTTGCGAGTACTGTTCGGTGGCGGAAATCTGGCCATCTTCCTTCGCGTTGGAGCGAGATAAATTTTTATCTATGGGGAAACATGACTGCGTTTTATATGTTTAATTTAACACATTTATCTTCAACAAATTATTTGACTGTCTTCCCGATCGAATTTTTAGCTGAAAGTTTTTGTGGATCAACTAGACTTGATGAGGAATATTCCATAAAAATTTCATCAAAAAACTCCACCGGGAACCACCCCAAACGGCAGCGGCCGGACGGAGGATCCCGTCCCTCCGGCTGGACAGGATCATTCCTCTCTCTCTCTCTCTCTCTCACACACACACACACACACACATATAATAGTGTTCCTGTCAGGACCTCCAAAAATGGACCTCCGTACAGACCTCGGCGTTTGGGCCCCTTCCCGGGGGATTTGTTTGATGCAATTTCTTGAGCATGTTCTTCATCAAGTCTAGTTTACCTATACCAAATTGCAGCTAAAAATTCCATCGGTAAGGCAGTCAAATGATTTTTGGAAGTTAACTGCATTTTATATGTATATAAAGTGCGCAGTTAACTTCAAAAAATCATTTGACTGCCTTCCCGATGGAATTTTTAGCTGAAATTTGGTATGGGTAAACTAGACTTGATGAAGAACATGCTAAAAAAATTCCATCAAAAAAATTCCACCGGGTAGAGGCCCAAACGCCGAGGTCCGTACGGAGGTCCGTTTTTGGAGGTCCTGACAGGAACACTACTACTCTCTCTCTCTCTCTCTCTCTATATATATATATATATATATATATATATATTTGTTGTTCAAGTAAAAAGTATATAGGGGTGAGTTCAAGTAAAAAGTAGTCTTCCCATGAAAAGTGAGAACAAATCTTAGCCTTAAATCACTTGTAAATGGATAAATGAGATGAATTTCAATCACAAGATACAGACTCAAATAATGTGCAAACGTTTATAGTACAAAGTTAATATTAAATGAATAAAAGTGCACTCATAAGAGTTCAAAAAGATTGCCAATTTTTTAAAATTTGTGCACATTTTATAATATATTTTATTAATAAAATAAAAAGCAATAAATAAAATAACTAAATATATTTCAATTTCTGGCACATGTGATTAAAGATAACTTGTTAAGGATCTGTTTGACCCATTTATACACCATGATATTGTCTAACTCAATTTGGACTGACGAGCATGTCAAAGTATTTATCCTACACTGAAAAGCTATAAAACAACAAAAGACTATATAAGACTTTGGACTCCTATCAGGTTGACCTTTTAGGATGGAACCCTAGATCGTAACATGGCATCAGAGCTTTTCATGATTTTATTGAGATTTTACAACCTTTGATGTTTGGCAGTCTCCTGTTATGTCAAATATAGGTTTTAAGTATTATGTTTCGTCTATAGATGATTTTCTCATTTTACCTGGGTTTACCCCATGCGTCGCAAATATAAAGTTTTTCATCATTTTTGTAACTATAAAAACTAGTTGAAAATTTATTTAATTGCAAAATTAAATGTTTTTAAAGTGACGATAGAGGTGAATTTGAAAATCTTGCTTGGATACACCTATGCAGAATGGGGTAACTGAGCGCAAACATAAGCATCTACTTGAATTATCGCGTACCATGCTTACAAATGCTCATCTTCCCTCTATTTTTTTTGGGTTGATGCCCTCTATACTGCTTCGTTTATTATTAACTGTGGGCCTACTCCCACTCTGAGTGATATGTCTGCGTATGAAATACTTTTTCAAAAATCTCCTAACCATAAAAAATCTATTGATGGTGAGGATAAACCCCACACATACTAGGAGAAGGAAGGCGAATGCAGAACATTTGCTCCCTGCTATCCCTGATTGAGAGGGATCTGCTACTACATAGCAGCCACAGAAGCAATGGAGAGCATACTAATGATCTGGGCCCATCTGACCAATAGCCCACGCCCTGCCGAGCTATCAGTTGAGTTCTTGTATGGTGGGTCACTTTTAAGAGTGGATCGTGCTCCAACATGGTTACAATGTTGCACTATATCAGACATAATGGTGTCGTATCCACTGAAGACTACAATAGATGGGGAATTTTCGGACACTGGTACACGAAAAGATATTCCTTCGATAGAAGGGATCATTTTGATCCAGAGAAGCACAACTTGTGTCAAAAGACTAAAACAACGCCTTCACACGAGCCCCATAATCGGGGAGTTCAACGTTGGGAGAAATTATACTAGAGAAGGTCTCGAGTTCTACACAGGGCTTAAGTTCTAGACAGGGCAGACGATTAAGGAGGCTGATGAGTATTATCAGACATATGAAATGAGGGTCATGATGTGCTTCTTGCAGGATATGGTAGGAGCAAAAATGAGCAAACAGGATACCAGGAGTACATAAACTCCTATGGGCAAAAGTGCGGTCACAAGGGGTTTGCGAGACTGCATGAAAACAAGCTGTATTGGTGCTATTTTCAAAAAGGCGTCGTTGAAATTCCAGCCCCCTAGAATGGGCAGACCAAGGACTGCGAGAGCGGGTTAAAATTGATGTATAACCATACGAGCTTATTGATTGATACATGTTATTAGTAGTTACTAATAAATCAACGGTTCTCTAGAGTTGAATATTACAAAAACATATATTTGGAAGGATATTTTAATTCATCCTAAATTATTATTATTATTATTATTATTATCATCATCATCATCATCATCATCATCATCATCATCATCATCATCATCATCATCATCATCATCATCATCATCATCATCATCATCATCATCATCATCATCATCATCATCATCATCATCATCATCATCATCATCATCATCATCATCATCATCATCATCATCATCATCATCATCATCATCATCATCATCATCATCATCATCATCATCATCATCATCATCATCATCATCATCATCATCATCATCATCATCATCATCATCATCATCATCATCATCATCATCATCATCATCATCATCATCATCATCATCATCATCATCATCATCATCATCATCATCATCATCATCATCATCATCATCATCATCATCATCATCATCATCATCATCATCATCATCATCATCATCATCATCATCATCATCATCATCATCATCATCATCATCATCATCATCATCATCATCATCATCATCATCATCATCATCATCATCATCATCATCATCATCATCATGATCATCATAATGCTTATTATTATTGTTGTTATTATTGTTGTTATTATTATTGTTATTATTATTGTTATTATTATTGCTATTATTATTGCTATTATTATTGCTATTATTATTGCTATTATTATTGCTATTATTATTGCTATTATTATTGCTATTATTATTGCTATTATTATTGCTACTATTATTGCTACTATTATTGCTACTATTATCGCTACTATTATTGCTACTATTATTGCTACTATTATTATTACTATTATTATTACTATTATTATTATTATTATTATTATTATTATTATTATTATTATTATTATTATTATAATAATAATAATAATAATAATAATAATAATAATAATAATAATAATAATAATAATAATAATAATAATAATAATAATAATAATAATAATAATAATAATAATAATAATAATAATAATAATAATAATAATAATAAATAACATCTTAGGGCTCCATGATGGTTAGACATTATTCTACATAATTATTATTTCACATGGTATCGGAGAAAAGTTTGGTTGTGATTTGACTGCTTGTTTTGCACCCGTGATTAAAGGTAACTTATTAAGGATCTGTTTGGCCCACTTATACACCCCAATATTGTCCAGTTTGATTTATACTAATGTGCATGTTAAAGTATTTATCCTACACTAAAAAGCTATAAAACAATAAAAGACTATATAAGACTTTGGACTCCTATCAGGTTGACCTTTTAGGAAGGAACCCATATCTTAACATGGTATCAAAGCTTTTCATGATTTTATTGAGCCTTTACAACGTTTTCATTTCGATGTTTGACAGTCTCCTGTTTTGTCAAATTTAGGTTTTAAGTATTATGTTTCCTCTATAGATGAATTTTCTCATTTTACCTGGGTTTACCCCATGCGCCGAAATCTAAGGTTTTTCATCATTGTTGTAACTTT